AATATAAAACTGGCTAAACCCTAACCCTAAATCGGGCTAAAATGTCGGTGAAATGACACAGTCGGTAAAATGAGTGTCGGTGAAATAATTGCCTCCCTAAACATATAACTTTGTTTTATGGCTATTACTAATAGATACAGTACGTACAGTACATGTCAAGGTTGCAAGACTGCTTCTTTGTGGTGTTCTTTAAACTTTTTATTCGAAATCTATAAATCAATCTTAATAACATAATATAATATATTAAAAGATATAAAAAGAATAAATATAGTGATGAATTATTCAATCAACATAGCGATAGTAATTTATTATAAAAATCGCGTATCTTCAAAGCATTATAATTCCTGCTCTAGTAAAGCAAATTCAATTCTGTAACTTGCAAATGATATATGAACAGTGTAATTTAAAACCATGTTGAGACATTTTTTAATTCATTTTATTAATATCTGATATAGTTAAACGAAATCAAATAGTAAAATATTTATAATTTAAAAATTTAAGCTATAGAGACCCGAAATATTTGCATATTATTCTTTTAAATGTCAATTTTATAACTACACTATTAATATACTATTTGCAAATTACAGAATTGAATTTGCTTTATTAGAGCAGGAGTTAGAAGTTTCACGAGATTACCTGTTACCTTTAACCAATAAAAATCGTGAAATTCGGTTCACCATTATAATTTTGAATTACGACAGTAATTGTAATACCGTAATACTAGAGGTCGAACCGGTTTGAAAAATTCGAGTTTATATACACAAAAAAAAAAAACAATTTTTTTTTTAACTTTAGGGTTAGGGTGAGGGCTAAAATTTTAATAAGAGCTTATATATATGCAAATTTTAGCAAAGAATTTTTTTACAAAGGTGGTTTAGATAATAGCTGATAGCATAAGGAAACGTTATATAGTACGGAATTTTTTTTGAAAATTTTACTATGTAATCCCCTCCAAAACTTTCTCCCTCACTCTTTTGAAGTGACGATGTAATGTAAACTACTGAATTAAATTGGTCTGGCCTGATATGAGTGTCGCCAAGGGAAAACTAGCCTTCGAGCTTTATAAATTTATAATTTACAGGACTAAGAAATATCATATTATATAGTGAAGTGAGTCCGACAAGAAATAAACCTGTAAACTGAAGTCTGGTTTTCCTTTGATGACACATAATGTTAGATTAGTTGAGAGTGCAGCACACAATATGAGTGTTTAGTTCCAGCCGCAACTTAAATTGGACGCGGTAGCATCTCGTTTAACCATGATAGTTGGGAATAAAAGAAAGGCAAATCACATCTAGAAATGCGAATATTGAACAACTTTAATGTAGACTTAAGGCCGTTCAAAGTTGATTAGTTGGTTAACGTTAATATTTTGGGCCCAGGCACGATGGGGGAGGGAAAAAAAAAAATTTAATAAGGCAACTTAAATTTGTTGGAAAATTTTCAAAAAAAAAAAAACTAGCATGTAGCTAACTAGAACTTTTTATTCAAAGGGAATAAGGTTATTTTTCGGAAGGTACGACACTGTATCTATAACCTTAAAGTAAAGCAAAAATAAGAATGTTATCAAATCCTGAAGTCAACGAAATAGAAATACAAGTTATACGACAGCACTTTAAAAAATTCAATGTTGAAAATTCATATCCACTTGAAATTAATATTCGTTATATAAACAATCATTTAAGTTTTTGACCATTAGTTGTTAGAAATTCCACCTTAAAAGCTGAGTCGATACGAAGGAGCTAAAGTTCGGGTAAAAACAGAATCATTCCAGAAGAAAACAGGAAATACCTCAGAGAACTATTAATTCAACTTTAAAAAAATGCATTATTTTCGAAAAATATTAACACAAATACAGTAATCAAATTAACGCGATAAAGTAACATTTAATCATTTTTCATAATAAATATATATATATATTTGATTTGGGTAATCAGTTAAGTATATAGAGTCAAATACAGTATTTTTTAATATTATTAACTGTTGTAACTCTTAAATTTTGAACATAGAGTACATGCAACTGGATACAAAACAAAACCCTTTTAATAGTGCAAGTTGCATTTTTAACTATTATAAAAGATACATGGAATTATATAATATAAAAAGAAATAAGTTTTTAATTTCATTAAAGCAAATTATCTGTGTTAAAGAATAAAAACAATTATCAAAATTATGTTTAAACGATAAATATAGACTTTTCTTCAGGGAATCCAATTTTGTTTAAAGATAATCTAACGCTATCCATCATAGGAAGAGGACCACAAACAATTACTCTTACTTCTTGTGAAGTGTCATTAGCTAATTGTTTCATAAATTCATGCCTTTCATTAAGCATTAACATTGCACTTGTTGGTGCATAAACAGGCATTTTTAAATCATAAATTGGTGACATAGGTGGTGACGCAGATATTGGACTTCCAAGTTGAACTTGAGATGATGATGACATATTAACTATATAATCATCTGATTGATTAATATTAGAATCATCAATATCTTCAGATTGTATAGGACTAAATGGTTGATTTGACTGTAATTGAATAATATTTGGCCTTTCAGGAATTTTGGGTGGTTGTTTAAATTCGTAATTTTTACTAATCCAATCGTATAATAAAGTGTCATCAATAGTTCCTGTATAACCAATCCATGTCGGTGGTGCTCTTGATATAATAAACTCTACAGTAAATTTTCCATTACTGTTATCTTGGAGATATGAAAGATATTTATGACTAATAATATCAGCATTCGAATGATTAGCTGAGAGTAAATGAATACGGAAATCCGAATCTTTCTGATCTAAATGATATTGAATCTATATAATAACGGAAGAAAAAAAAAAAAATATATATATATATATAAATATATATATATATATATATATATTATTTAGTAATCGTAAAATATTCTCAAAAGGATAGTATGTAATTAAATTGCTTACCAATTGAAGTGCAGGTGTTATGCCTAAAATAATATTTAGAATTAATAAAAACAAACATTTATATAATAATATATTAATTTGCAATGTAACTAGATAGTGTACCTGTACCACCACAAACAAGGAAAAGGCAGTCCCAACATTTATCTTCTCTAGATTGATTTAATAAAACTCTAGATGGAGTTTGAGAATGTTCATCACTGGACAATACGCTTCCATATCCACTGTATGCTGTATTGGACTTTGGAAATAATTTTGAACTAACGCTATGACGTAATCTACGTCGTAAACCCGTTAAATCAGAATTCGTTATAGGATGTTGTTCAATTCGTTCCGAAACATCAAATGGGCCTCGGACTGCAATCTCAAAATTTCTTAATTGTTTATTCTAAACAAATTTCCAAATATTAAAGAATTTAATAAATAAATTTACAAAATATATATATATATATAAAAAAGTAAATCTTACCAAATGTTGAGACATAACACCATCTTTATAGATTTTAACAATTATCGAGAAAGTATTATCAGAAGGACCTTTGAGTAACGTATATGGTCTGACAATAGTTGTTTTATTTGCATAACTCATGATTTCGATATAATCTCCAGGTAAAATTTCGGGTAAATTTTCATATGGATGAATAACTTGAAATGTGAATTTCTTTACTGGATTTTCAGAATCATATCTAGTAAGATCTTCAATATTTGTAAGAATATATCTTCTAAATATTTCGGGTGAAATTCTTAATTTATTAGGTGCTGAATATGGTACTATCCCATCAACAGCTGGTTTTGAAAAAACATTTTCATCATCATAATCAGAAATACGCGCTATCAAATATCAAAAAAAGTTGTTATTTTAATTTTTATATTTAATCAAGTTTATAATCTAATTTTATAAAAAAATAATTTTTTTCTATTACCTATAACCATTGTGGCCAATTTAGCAGTTGCAAATTTAGAATGTCTGTGCATTGCAACTCGAGTATTTTTAAAGGTCACACTATTAAGTAAATCAATTGATCTTGCAACAGAGCCCGTAATATTTGAATTAGGATTTTTTTGATTTTTCAATTGAGCTTTTGAATATTTTTCATTATGTGTATCATTAGTAGTAGTTGAATGTAACAATTCATGTTCTTTATCAAAATTTCTCGAGATAACAATTTGTAATGTTGGATCAAAAAAGAAATCATTGGTAATATCCGTTCCAATCTTTAAAAAATAAAATAAAATAAATTTAATTGTTAAAAATAAATAATAAATAAGTTTTGAATTTATTATTTAAGAAAAAAATATTTACCACTCTGCGTAGAATTTTTTGACCACCAGGATGAATTCTGATCCAGGTATGAATATCAAAAACCAATCCTTCAGCGACAACAAGGCATGCTCCAGACAAAACCCTTTCATTAAATTCCTAAAATATATATATATATATTTATATAATTTTTAATTGATACTAATTATTCATAACATCAATATCTGATATACATACACTCCATGTATAAGCAGGAAGCAATTCATAAACTTTTTCAGGAATTCTACTATGAATTCGTAAATTTGTATCTGGTAACGTTCGTGTCGGCCATAAAAATTGTAAATTCTTAATCTTGTAATAAAATTCACTTGCAAAAAATATCATTGCCAACAGAACTAGAAAATATAAAAAATATTAATAAATTATTGCTTAAACGTTAATATAAGGTATTATAAGAATATTTATATATATATAGATATATTCACCAAACCAAGCCAAGTATAAATAGGTTGCGACAATCGTGCTAGCACTATAATTTGTACCATATTGAGTCATTCCAAGATACACATTAACCCTATTTATATAATTAAACAGAATAAGAACTATTATTATTACTAGATTTTTAATAAATGGACTTTTTTTTTATAATTCATACCATGCACAGGCCATCAATATTGCGCCAAAATAAAAATGAGCATGTTTTAATCCACGTATTATTCCAGTTGCTAAAATAATAATAATAATAATATAGTAATATTAGAAAATATTTTCAAAATTTAAATTAGTAAATTTTTATTATTTCTTACAAGCAGATTCAACGTGAGCTAAACCGAATATTGCCAACAATCCCAACGCAACTTGAACGATTAAACCAGTATAAATTGTGGTACCAAGACTAAATGCAAATTTAAAAGGAAATGTTAGTAAACTAATAAATACATGTATATGATAATTATTTTAATAATAAATGAAAAACGTACATTCCATGTGGGACTCTAAATTGTACTGTAACCGAAGACATCGCAACAGCACCAAAGATTCCAACACAGATTGCACCAATAATTTGAAGGTTACGATGCTACAATATAATATGATGAATGAGCACATAAATAATCAATAAATTCTCACATATATATTATCATACTATGTTTATACATACCTGAAACATATATGAATCCTTATGTCTCATATACCTAACTATCCAGATTGATGCTAATATTTATTTGAACAAAAGAGAATATAAGTTATCATCAACAAAGCTTTAAAAGACTAATTATTTGTTTTATTAAAATACCTGGAAATAAGACACTATAAAGGTGATTTTAATAATAATCAAATTAATATCGGTACGTGTGATGAAGAAAAGAATTCATATATTCACGTACCACCACATTAAAAACATTCCAATTCCATGAGTTAATTGCATTTTTCTGGATTGCTCAGTGGTAGTAGCAGCAGTAGCTGCTGAAAAGAAATTAACTCCCATAGTTCCACGATTTCCTCCATGATATGTTAGTATACTGACTGATGGATTGAAGGCATAAATTGCTGTAAAATCAAATATATTTTGAGTTATTACGTTACAAAACAATATATTAATGAATTTCAAGTAAATTTTATTTTGACAATAACTTGTTATCATAGCATTAGTAATTGGTCGTCGGTTAGGAGCGTTTAAGGGGCGTTTTACTTCCACTTGTGTGTATCCATTGGTTGTATTTTTGCTTAAGACAGTAAGAAAAGTGCTAGTTAAATCACGGTCAGGTTTCTGATAAGCGGTTGGCATATAAAGGCCAACCTCTATCGATGAGCTATTGACAGTTACAATCGTCATATCGGCACCCTATAAACAGGTTTCATGATTATGGGTTTGTTATTAAATAAAAAAATTAAGACAATAAAAAAAAATATGAACATACCACCATGCCACCATCCGACGGATTAAATCCAATGCCAAACCAAGCATTTGTACTCTGCATGGTCATCAATAAATAAAGATCTGTACCATCTATCCTCCATTGGACTTGATACGTGTTTGAGAATTTTAGGATATTATATGGAGAATATAAACTCGAACTACTCGAGCTGGAAACATTGGGAGCGACAACCGGTTGAACAACCCATAAATTTGTAGGAATTGAGGCAGTATTTGGAATGTTTCTAGCAATAACCATTGCCAAAGTCGTATTGTGGATTGTATTTATTTCATCACTAGTAAACCCAGCAGCTGGAGCTTCATACCTTTAATGATAAAACATTAAAACAATATAATAGGTAAATTTTGTTTATTTATTTTTTTTTTAAAAAAAAATAAAAATAAAAAAAATAGCTAGAAATAGTTTAAAAACTACAATAAAAAAAAAAGCTACACACCAAAATCTGTCTGAATCACGAATGTTGGCCCACTAAATAATTATTAAATAATTATTAAAGATTATATGATATATTATAATTTGTGAAAATAACAAATCAAATACCTGATTAAGATAACTATTATAAAATAAAGGACCTAGATTTGAACCAGCAACATGATCTTCGGCAAGCCCTCCTGAAAACGCTTCAACTTGATCAACTGTACCATAAACAGTTTTTAGACGTTGTTGTACAACAGGATTTGATGATATGTCAGACCAATTTTGAGCTCGAGGCAAATTAAAATATTGTCTTGCATCATTATATTTTGCTATCCCATGATCACGGTTTCTCACACAATCAAGACTAATTATTTTAATTAAATTTATAAAGATTTTTGATTAATTAATGGTATTTTAATAATGATGAATCTTAAAGTCTGTCTATTTTAAAATTTTTATACCACTATTCACCTTGATATGTCCATTATTTCTGTTTTATACATATAATATCGCATCTGATCGCTAACAAATATATCAACTTCTTCTTGCCTAAAAACATATAAAAATATGATTATAATATCATAAATTTATAATAAAAAGTATATGAAATATATGATTACATTTGAAGAGCCATCGATAATACAAAAGCTGGAACACCATATAATTCACTATCAAATAAATGATGTTAAAAATAAAGATATGATGTTTAGAATAGAATAAGGGCAAATAAATTATTTACAGTAAATGAGGTTGTATAAGAGAATTTAATTGTAAAGTAGTAATCCCAAGTCCTTTCTCATTATAGATATTATAAGAATCACTTTTTGAAAAATATTTTAAAATGATTTATAAAATAATGAGTAAGTTAATTTTAATGCTCAATGCTATAAACAATAAAAATAAGATAATAAGGCAATGATAATTACCTAACTTCGCTATGGCCGTAACGCATTGAAGTCTATTTATAATCACAAGAAATCAAAAATGGTAAAACTTATTATATCTATTTATTTATACTTTACTAATTAAAAACTTACAGTCGCAAAGAAAGTGTCAATGACTGGTTGTTTACTCGAGTCATAACCTTTGTAAACTGGTAAAGGGGTTCCTAGAAGGATTCCGACTAAATTGACATAAATAAAATTAACGATGAGAAAAAAATTAAAATAAAAAAAAAATTTTTAATAGTATTACCATATTCGTAAGAAGTTATCTTTTGAATAAGCGCGATAACCCATCTTCTTGCTTCTTGAAAATAAGTTTCATCACTCCAACTGTCACCATGAAGCGAATATAATTCATTACATAGTCTATTATGTTCACGTAAAAAAATAACGTAGAATAGATCTACAATTTTATAAAGATTGGATGAATTTGGACGTTTTAAGGCTTGTTAGTATTTGTGTTTTTATTTACCTGTAAAAACGTTTCTGCCTCTAGGCGAAGTGTACCTGTTATTTAAACAAATTATTTTATGAATAATTATTTTATATAATAAAGTTAACATTTTCGAATCTCATACCCAAAAATGTATTCGCCATTTGCATCCTTTATAATAAAATAATAAATTTAATAAGAACCAATTTTACTTTAATTCATTCTAAAAGATAGATAAGGTTACCTTAGGTGGGTACCCTAATTTACTATCATCCGTTTGATCTGATGTTATGAGTCTCATTTTTCCTCTATTACCAGTATCACGAACCAATGAACTATCAGCATCTGTTACTCCGTAGATATGAGATGCGTCAAGAAAAGGAGTACCCTCGTCAACTCCAGCATGTCCAGAATCTTGGGAACGGTTAAATGCTAAATATGACTAAATAATAAATATAATTAATTAGAACCTCTCTTGTCACATTTTATAAAATTTACAATCAACATCTTACTTGATTCATTGTAATATTTGGACCAACTATATATTTAGATTGATATGTGCTATCATCTGTAGGAATATAGATCCCTTGTGGATAACTTTGACCATTATCTGGACCAGCACTGACCTAATTAACAATTAATTATTAAGATAGGAATGATGAAATCAAATCAAGAAAAAAAAAAAAAAAAAAACCACGAAATTTTTACATACATCAAACTTGACGAACAATCCCCTATAAGTACCAATTATGGTTAATATGTATTTAATTAATGTTTTAGTCTTCAAATCTGTATACTCACCAATAAGTCAACTATTTAATATTTTTTTAATTATTAATAAGTATTATTATTATTATTAACATTATCATTAATATTAACATTAACATTATAATTATTATTATCATTAACGTTATAATTAATAAAATACTATATTAAAAGATTTTAAAAACCTACTATATGAGAAATACTTCTTTTAGATTTAAATTGTTGCAAGTATGTCAAATTGAAAACATCATTCGCTTGTAATTGATACGAATGAAGAAGATTACTAACACATCTAGGCAATGGAAAGCTACCAGCTGGTAATTGATCTGTACAACGTACACCTGCTGTGAGTGTAGTGTAATTCCCTGGAGTAGATATCATAATACCAAGATTATCTTGATAAAAGGTTTTAGGCACTTGTTGACGCACAAATGCCGAATTTGCCAATCCTAGATTATTCTGATCGTTATTCTTATAGTTATTTGATCCATTCAAAGATCTATATTCACTTTGGACTACATTTCTAAATATAAGAACATAAATTAAAACGATTATAGCATTCATGTTGATGTTCTTTACCGAAAAACGATGCGAAATGAAAAAATGTGCGTGAATCATAATATTTATATGCACATTCTTAAGTTGATTCATACATTGAACGTCTAATTATCAGTAGTTTAGCAACTTAAAAATTTTTTAAAGTACTGTATTAGTATATTTATAGTACTAGACTACTAATTGTAGATCCGATGCATCCCTTATTGTTATACAGCATAGTTTAGCAAACACCGATATTGTTGAGTAGATCTATTTATATTTTGAAAATATATTGGCCAATTAAAAAATACAGAAATATGGAATGATTTTCTATTCTAGAAATGATTTTCTGTCAATCTATTCTATATTAGTATTAGTATTGTTTTGGATCTTATTATTGATCGGAGTTGTGCCTTAATGGAGATAATATTAATAGTAAACCACAGAAGTTATTTATTTTTCTAAGATGTGTTACAAAAAACTTCCTACATATATAAATGCTGTACACGTATTCTTATTTAAGGAGAGAACTCTTCTTCACGCTCATTGGTAAATTAAAAATACAGATAGTGTATTCGGAGAATACAGTACGTTACGTAAGGTGTTTTAAAAATGAATTGTCAAATCAGAATTTAAAAACAAGTGAAACTAACTTTAGTACTTAATAACCTGACCTCTCACATGATAATGTCATTAACTTTTTACAGTAAATAAAATAATATTAAATTTAATAATTCAAGTATTTTTTTTTTTCAAAAAGAAAAAACAATATCAGATTTTTATTCATTTTTATTCAACTTATCTAATACTCGTAAAAAATTTGAAAGACTATCGAAAGAAAGACAAAAAAAATGCAACGCCCAAAACATACAAAAAAGTATTATAATGTGTGATAACTGATTTAAAAATTATATTAACGATGTTCAACCTTATTACATCTGAATATAAAGTAGCTATTGTGGGTCTTCTCTTTGAATTCATTATTTAAGTGAAGACACTAAATGAATTACTAAACTAGTGGTACTAAAGAGGTATATATTTATGTTTTATAATACAGTAATATGTTAATAACGAAAAAATAAAATTATGAAAATACTGAAATCGACAACGAATATGATAATGATAAGAATTATGATAATAAACGCAAATGCCAAACAAATTCGCATAGCTTAAGTTTTAACTTTAGGCCGTTCTTAGTTGATTATTAGGTTAACGTCAATATTTGGGCTCAGGTATGAGGGGGGGGAGGGGGAAAATTTAAACAAACACATATTGTCCCAAGAATATTTGATCAAATCTCATTGGTCAACATTAATCACATATTAATGAAGTTTATGATTGGCTTGTTTAATTTTTGGGGGGAGGGCAGTTAAGCGAGGGGGGGATGACGTTAACCTAATAATCAACTAAAAACGGCCTTATCAATAAATTTATAATTTTTATTAGTTGTTAAATAATTTAAAAACTTAGCTACAATAGTTAGCCGGGTTGTGATAGTCTTTAAAAACTATAGTAATACTTCCCAATTGTGCTTACGTTATAGTAAAAGAATCGGGGTATTATTTTTCATAAGTGACCCAAAAATGATGATTAAAATATCGATATAAACGATATAAACGGAAATATAATTCGGCAAACATATCAATATGCACTATCGCTATACTGCATTTCCTACATTCTATACATTTTCAAGTCGACAGAACAGAGACGATGATTTTCTGCGGTGATATTTGATTAATTAAATTAATTAAACAGATATCACGCAGAAAATCAAATCATAGTCCCTGCATCAGAAGCATAATTATAATGGGACAACTTATGACATCATTACGATATCAGTAAAATTTCGATTAACGTTAGTAGCTCCCAATTCCGGATCAGAAGATAGTGTATATTGTGAGAGGGAAAAATATAGGCACGTGAGTGTGAGGAAAAAACGTGACCTAGAGAAAGCACGTGAGAAACGTAACCACGACCCAAACCGAAGATAAGCCGCAAGATCCGCATGTGAAAGTAGCATTTAAATAAATGCTATATTGGGTTTAGCTCGTGGCGAAGCCCGCTTTGCAAAAAGGTGTGACCCACATGATTTTCTTTGTGATGATGGGAAATTTTAAATAGAATTTAATAAGAGAATTTCTGATAAGGTTACTGATTTCAAGTATGATTGCAAATTATTATGTATTCTCTATTAAATTCTCTTATTGGATTCTTTATTAAAATTCCCCACCGCATCATCACAAAAATCATGGGGACCACACCTTTTTGCAAAACGCTATAATAATGGCTTTGTGGAACAAATGTTAATGTTAACCGCTTGTAGATTCCCCCCCCCATATTACAGCTGTTTTCAAAAAGGTTTGAACAACAAGTTAAATATACCTTATGTGGGAATCAAAAGAATCTGAAAATTCTGATTAGAAAAATTCAAGATCCGAATAGAGCGGGTCTTTAAAACTCCGGAAATCTGGGAAATATCGTCAATTTCCTGATCTACGTTCGTTCTCACCTTTTTGAAAACAGCTATAAATTGTAAAAGCCCGATGAATCTCTCATGTATAAAAGTCCTGTAAATTCTGTTAGTAAAGAGACAGATAAGTTTTTATTTGGCATTAATAAAGACCTACCTTAAAGCCAGGATCTTAGTGGCAGTAAGTTCTCGGACTAAATCTTCCACATCTCTTTTGAGTTGCCTTGTGTCTTAGCGTTACATTACGTTTTAGTCATGAGGGCCAAATCCGCCCCCTTCACAATATATATTGCGCATAGTTTCACAAAAAAAAAAAAAGAAGGTAATTCACTTTTTTAGTATCTATGATTTTTTCATGAATCGGAGATGAACACCATGACTGCTGAGTAACTGTTAAACAAAAATTTGTCTATCTCTTAATTTTGCTAACCGTAAGGTTAAAGGTTGACTGAATCGTTATTTCTATTTACTTTACTATTTCTTATTACAATAGATCGTACCATAATTAAATAGTTACCCGAATACGTATTTGAAACTCGACTACTCGCAACTAAAAACGAAGCGACAATGGTGAAAATGAAGAAATTGATATCTTTGAATTGGATTATTTCATGTTTTATCCCTATAGACGTGAAATATCAGACTTTTATTGTCGATTAGAATCAATTTCTCAAATAAATTTGAATTATTTAGTATCTTGTCATTATTACCCTAAGCTTATACTGTCTTGTATTAAAAGGGCCCATTTGTGAACCTTTTTTTTTGATTTTTTTTTTACATTTAAAATGAAAGAATTGCTATAAGTTACAAGACAGCTTGAAAAATAAAAAAAAAAAATATTAAAAAATTTTTTAGTTAAATATTTTAATTTTATAAAAATGTAGATTATAGCAGTATTACACAAATTTTTTAGACAAATTTGTTTAGAAAAAGTTTACAGATTAAGAGATAACATACTTATAATTTTAGATTAATTTAATACAACTTAATTTTATAAGTATGTTTCCAAAAATAGATAGAATTTACTATAACATATCACAAAATTTAGAAAATTATTCAAATTTATTATTAGTAAAATTTAAACTTTAAACTAATTATATAGCAAACTAATAATCTAACTATTATACTAAGATTACAAACTTTAGTATTTAAAATTTTTAAGATTAAAATTTAAAAAAGATACAGTTAAATTTACAGATCTATATCATTTCACTAACAATTATTTTATTAATAGTTTATTTAGCTAATATTATTTCAAGTAATAATTTATTAAAATTATATATCTAAAACTAATAAAACTCTAACTCTAAATCTATATAATATCAGTTAAATGAATTTTTGATGAAATAACTTAGAAAGTAAGTGATACTGAAATTTACTTACATATTTAGATTATATATATTTAATAAATATATAAATTAAATCTTATTTTTCTAAAATATTTTATTTGTTTTAATGTAGTTATTAGAAATAAATATTAATTATTAAAATATAATTTAAAATTAAAGTAGAAAAAAAAGAATGTAATATAAATTATTTTTTTTATTTTTTAAGGTAGCTTATATTGCCAAGCAGATTTTATTAGTTTGATATATAAGGTTCTACATGGGATTCCCTTACAGTTTGTAATTATATGAAGAGTGTATAATAAACTACATATACAACTTTAGTCATTATCTAATTTAAATAGTCTGCTGCATAGATGATAGACTACCTGATTAGTTCTACACTATGCTGCTATACCTGTAATTTACCTGTGAGTTATCTATTTAAATATTCTGTTTAACTAACTAATACTATTACAAATTAATTTCACTATAACATCTAACCACTTAAGCTAGCTAGCTTATTACAGATCTATTTACTAACTTTAGCTTAGATCCTTTTGAAATGCTTATCACTTAAAATATTGTAAGCATGCAGAGCTCTAATTAACTCCAAAGCATACCTACTAAAGTGGTCCATACTTATTTCATAAATTCACCTAGCTTAGACCCTTGTAGATGTTTATATAACTCTAGTTCCTACTATAGCTCTCTACTAGTTTTCTTTTTGTTAATCTTTTTGAATATTTCACAAGATAGATCCTCCTAATCTAGTTAGCTGCTAAGTCAAATTGGTGTTGCTAATTCTCTTTGTAGAATAGACTTATTTACACCTTACTTAATCTATATTTTTAGAGCAACAGTTTCTTTTCTGAATTAAGTATTAGCTGATGTGACTGTTGAAAGCTATACTACTTCACTAACTTAGAATTTCTACTATACAGATTCTCTACTTATAGATCTTATCAAGAATTATTTATATAATATTATATTTCTCCAAATATCTTGTTATACTTCCAATATCTGAATAATATTAATGCAACATAATTTATAGAGTTATAACTCTAGAAACAGAGTTTACTGTAAGTTGAATACAAAGGTCTAAGTAATTCATCAACAGTAGAATTTGAACTCCAGACCTCTTGCATAGTAGTCTGATAATTTAACTACTACACTAAGATCATCAGATCTTTGTAATATAAATTATACTAATTATATAATACTTTATTAAT